AATGCTATTATCATCCTGTCATATTGAATTAGCTGGCAAAATCGGACAAGACATTATAAAACTTGTTGTATTTAGCAGTTTTTTTTGTCACATTGAATTGTTACATGTGATGTATTAGAAGTGATAATTAATATATTAACTTAGTTAAGTATATTAACTATTTTAAACATCATATGAGCAGACAAAATTAGCTATTCACAGCTACACTAAAAACCGGCATATAAGAACCTAAAAATTAAGAACATGCTAGGCTAAGATTAGCCATTTTAAGGACCATTTTATTAGAACCTTGCAGTAAATGTATGCATATAAGAAATTGTAAATGTTGAGGCTAACCGTAAAAAAGTAGGTTCTTATACAGGTTTTTACTGTACTACACTAATATTGGCCCCTGATATGCTGCTTACCCAGTCACACAAACACATATATTCAAGGAAGAGAACAAAGCTGTCTATTTGTTCATAGCTTGCTATGGCCAACAATCCTCCTTGGTTACCATGAGAATGGCTTTCAAACAATGAAACTTTCTGTTCCCTGCTGCTAAAACATAACAGCATTGACTTATCTGGTGGTGCAATAATAATAGCACATTTATTGCCAGATGAGATTGTCATGAGTATCAGTTTGTCTTTGAGACAGGCTGGAGAGAAAACTGCACTATCTTCTATCATTGTCAGTCCAAACTTATCATATCTTGTTGCTAGGGCCTCCTGGACATTTAAGTTTGGCTGGTTTACTGGTAGATTCAAATTGTTGTAAAGAATGTTTCCTTCTCTCATTGAATTGGCAAATGCAGCCACAGTTGATAAAATATTGTGAGGAGAAGGGACAGGAACTGTGCCAGACAGAAACTTCATAGCCCAGATGACAGCGATGATAGTACAAGCATTACTGCCCATTGGAATTCCAAAGATCAGGGACTGACATAGTTGTTGTGGCAGAATCCATTCAATTACATGACCGTAGTGCACATATGGATGTAGGATTAGTTGCTGTTGTGGCGGGAACAAATATTATGGTTGGGCTGACTGTGATAGTTGAGTTGGCTGTGATAGTTGAGTTGGCAGTGATAGTTGAGTTGACTGTAATAGTTGGGCTGACTGTGATAGTTGGGCTGACTGTGATAGTTGGGCTGACTGTGATGGCTGGGTTGACTGTGATGGCTGGGTTGACTGTGATAACTGTGATGGCTGGATCGACTGCGATGGTAGAGATGACTGTGATGGCTGTCTTGAACATACTCCTCCACTGCATCCTGGACACTTGACAGGTCCTTGTTTAGGGCGAGTGTGTCCTTTTCGTGGGTGTCCACATTGAGAACACTTTGGAATACGTCTGTTGTTAGAGGCTTGCTTTGCTGTGGTATTGGGTCAGAAGTACTTATTTTTGCAGGAGGTGTGTCTGGTGGACATGGAATAGAGGGTAGTGCAGATATTGATRCATTGGCTAGCTTAATATCATTTTCAATAGAATCAATGTCTCCAGGAGCTGTTGAGTCAAGGTTATCATTTGAATCAGATTCACTATTTTTTGAATTGTCACTAGACTTTGTAGTTTCAGTTTCTTTGGGTTCATTGGGGTTCAATATGGCATCTTTAGCAGTTTCAGCTAGTGATCTTGCTTTGTCTGCCAGAAATTCCTGACAGAGGACATACAGCTGTAGTAGTGGGTATCACTTAGGCAGTCCTCATGGTAAGAATGAGAACAGCCCTCAAATAATACCCAACTTTCTCTGTTTCTTGCTGTACAACTTGGCAGGTTACAACGTCGATCTGGTACTGGTTGGTGTAAACCACAATAGCCCAATGGCAGTGTCCTACATTTGACTTGATCTTTTCCAAATACTTTGGGCAATACAGCACTCTTCTTTTTTCCCTCAAAAATAATTCTTCCCTCCCCAATGTTTCTTGATATATATCCACAAATAATTTTGATAGTATGCCAGCACATTTTGCTTTAAGAATTCTGAGGTGGTTGGTTGTGAAGTTATGATGTTTAGGTGGAGTGAAATGTTCCTTGAAGTGTTTTTGTGTGTGTTTAGCTTGAAATGTGGATTTTGCCTTTTTGCGTAGCTGTTCAGTTGTGTCATGGGCATTTGTTTTTGATATCTCTCGTAAGATATGATAAGATGTGAGCAGAACTGATGAAAGAGATTAGGATGATGGATGCCCCAATATGTACATGTAGTCAGCCAAACCAATGGAGCCTTGTTGTAGTGGTGTCTCTCTAGGCAAACAAACATTGTCCAAATACGAATTACAGCATTAAAGTATTCCAGGAAGTTGTTTAGTTTGAAAGTAACACTGTAGATAGTAAGGATCAAAGGCAGGTAGTTATCAAGTAGGTTTAGGAGTGTTCTGTATTGTAAATCTTTGCAGGTGGAGAATTTGTCTTTGACAGTGTCCCGTATAAGTAGCCAGCCACCATAAACAATTTCATGCAAAAGACTGATCCTCCAAGGTTTGGGTGTCTTGGCTAATTTGCTTTTTGGGAAGAGATCTTTATAGATAATTTCATAGAATGGACGGAACTCAGTAAACACTGTTTCTTGTGCATTTAAGGAAATATGTAGAGGGCCAATACATGGTATAATTGATAAAATCGTAGGCTGATCAGATGTATCTTGTTCTTTTGCAGGTCCAGAGGTGTTACAAGGAGTGGTGTATGAGTGATCCAAATGTGAAGTGGGTTTGAGCAGTGGTCCAGGAGATGGTTCAGATGATGGAAAATGACTTTGATATTTTTGTAAGGTTTCATAAACGAGTTGACAGGAATAAAACTGTGCTGGCCAATCACCAGGTTGCAGAAGAAGATATCGTTTCATGTAGTCAGATAGCTTTGTGCAGCTCCAAAGTCATCTTTACTCTTAAGTTGCAGTTCTACAAAATCCACTAGGTGTACATCATCCATCTGC